CCCCCCCCCCCCAGTAAGAGGGCTTTTAGACTCATTAGCTAGTCAAAGAGTAAAAGTGATTTCTCTCCTACTTTCTCGATGATGGCCCGCAGACATACGTTGGTGGGCAGAGCGTCTACGCCCGCTGGGGGCAGCTCGACCACGCTGCGACAGTTGGGGCATTTCAGAGGCAGCCGGAGCGGACGCCAGATGGAGTAGTTGGTAGACACCTGGAGCAAGTTGTCCAGGCAGCTCTTACAGAAGGTGTGCGAGCACGGCAGGACTCGCGGGTCCGAGAACAGAGAGTAGCACACGGAGCACGTCAGGTCCTCCTCTAGGTTGTCCATGGTTGCAGACTAGAGTCCAGGCTCAGGACTGAGGGCTTAGGGAGAAGATCTGGCAGGACAGCAGGATGGATGAAAAGCTACGTGTTGCACATGTTCTGCAAAATACAGTAACTTGCTACAACTGTGAATATAACCCAGTGATTAAAAAAAAATGGGACAGAAAATGTATCAAGTCTTCTTATAAACAATTGTTTCCTTCATTTTCCAGGCAACACATCACGTGTGTAATGATTTTATGCTTCCATTCCGTCATGTATGACTTCTTCTTCTGATATTTCACAGACAAGATTGTTAATTAAGACTATCTTAAAACAGATGAATCAATAATGGAAATAATATTTAGTTGCAGCTCTAACTGGGTCAAGTCAAAAGCAAGATTTACTACACTCAGGTGTGATATTTTCATGACTGTGTAAAACCCATTTTTCATTACCACCCCGTCCTCCAGCCTGTGACTGTCAGCAATCTGCTGCAGTCCAATACAACAGCTCTACCAAGTTTATACGGCTCCCTGTATGTTGACATTGTCAGAAATCTATTCATTGAATTACAGGTTTACTGAGGTCAGAGCTAAAGGTGTTGTACTAGACATTATAGATCATATTGAGTAGTGTAACGGTGTAAGAAAATGCAACACAAAAGCAGACTTTACTATGGCAGAACTGTTGTATTGCACTACATTAGTGAATAATACTATTATTATTAGGAGGTTTAACTAATAGGGATTTCCCTCATTCAGCTAAGTCTAACCAGTATGTGTGGAAGAGCAGATCCTGTAGTGAAAAACAGCCAGAAACCAGGCTCAGCTCCTGTTAGAGGATCACTTCTGTTGTTCTGTTTCAGTGTGTATGAGCTCTCTGTCCTCTGGTTACAGCCAGCACCGCAGTGACAATAGGAGGCCTTCTGCCAGCACCCACCCAGTCCCAACACACACATGCAGACACACA